GAATGTTAAAAATCAGACTCAAATGTAAATAATCAAATTATGGATAATATATATATGTAAGAAAGAAAACTAATAAAAAAGCTATCAAAAGCCATTTTAAAGCTCCTTATTTTTTTAAAAAAACCTTCACATATCCATGTTTCTTCTCACCATGGTAATTCCTGCATGAGAATATTGCAGGTTCTGGAAACTTACGTGAGTTCATCATAAAGAGCTCATACAGAGAGCTTTCACATAGAGTACATATGCAGATTTTCACTGTTGAATCTGAGAATAGAATTTGAATTTCCTTGGGGTAGAATTTTCCTCTACTTCCAGGGGTCATTTCGTAGAAAAAGAGGTGCAGGAGCTCATTAGCATAACTCATTAGCATAACTTATTTGCATATGCCACACTCCGACATCACCGGAAGTGTGTCAGAAGACAACGCCCACAGCTCAGGTTCCACTGGACTGTTTTGGATTGCTAGCTATTGGGGGGGGTGCAGATCTGTCCTCGCAGAGGAGAGGGAGAGGTGGCACCCGAAGGCGGGGGGGGGGGGGCTCTGCAACTTACCTGGCTGCTTCTTCTTGCTCCTTGTGGCCCGACTGAGGGCTGCAGGGGGCGGGGCTTGTTGCATGTGTCCACCCCCTGGGCTCCTTACTGCCAGAGCTCCGCTCTTGTGCGCTCCCGCAGGAAATGACCCGTCTACTTCCATGTAAAAATATTTGAATAGGGTGTGTGCATGTCACAACTTCCTTTGTAGAGTCTGTGTGGAATAACATCAGAGACTGAATATGTACATGGGTATTCATGAGTGGCGGTGAGCTAGGTTTTTTCTCCTCCTTCAGATTGTGGCAATAGGCTGCAGGTAGGAACATGGGGATGCTTCTGTTCACGCCACAAGCCAAAGAGGTGTGATGGCCCCACCTTCTGTCTCATGGTGTGTTCTGCCTCAGCTCTCCTTCCTTCATAGGCCCTGTGCTCCACCCCAGAAAGATACCCTGGAGCCACAGTGATGCCAGCCAGGAATCAGAATCATAGAGTTGGAAGGGACCTCCAGGGCCATCTAGTCCAACCCCCTGCACAATGCAGGAAATTCCAAATACCTCCCCACACACACAAACACCCAGTGACCATCCCTAGAAGATGACAAAAAACCTCCAGGATTTCCAGCCAAACTGGTCTGGGGGAAAATTGCTTCCTGACCCCCAAAGTGGTGATTGGCATTTCCCTGGGCGTGTAAGAAAGGGCCAGGAGAACTAAGCACTGAGGCAACCCTCCCTGCCCTCCCTCTCATGATCTGCCCAAGTTCACAGAATCAGCATGGCTGTCAGATGGCCATGTAGCCTCTGCTTGAAAACCTCCAAAGAAGGAGAGCCCACCAGCTCCCGAGGAAGCCTTTTCCACTGAGAAACAGCTCTGTCAGGAAGTTCTTCCTAATGTTTAGCCGAAAACTCTTCTGATTTAATTTCAAGCCGTTGGTTCTGGGGCAGCAAGTACTTGAAGACAGTTATCATATCACGAGAAGTGGGAAATGAAGTCAGGTGAGGTAAAGAAGAGGTATAGTTCTGCGATCGTCACAGCTGTCTCTTTGGTCGTGCCAACGAAGGACCTTGGGTTGTGCCACCCTCCTCCTCTTCCTGCCGTAGCAGGTAGCAGTCGGGAAGTACAATCCTGCCACAGGCTTTAAATGCTTCATTGGTGGTGGCGGCGGGAGCAAAATTCTGATCTCTGATAACAGACTTACCATTCGGGATTTTCCTGCCCGTATTTGTGTTTATTACTACCAGTAAATCATGCTCTGTTGGCTCTCTTTTTAAAACAAATCGACACGGGCTCAAATTACACCATGAGCAAAAGGGTTTAATCATTTGTGTGCCTCTGACTTCTCATAATGTGGCATATAAGGACAGTATAGGTGAAGAATTTAGCAACTCTGTTCTCAACATTATGACATTTCCATAGATACTTGAAAAAGAAGGTGGGCTTTGTGAAATAAATACCTTTCCATTGTTTGACAAGATGGAAGCAAAGTGGTTTTAAGGAATTATAAAACAATCTTCATCTGGGGAATATAAGAACATATTTCTTTAACATTGCTCTCTATGGGACTAGACTGTACAAGATTCTTGTTCACCATGTTTGTATTAGTTACTGTTTGAAACGGTTTTCTCACAAGACGTTATACTGAAGGTAGTGGAGTTGTGTGTTTAATTAGTGCAACAATCTTGAGAATTTTGGACAGTAAATTTTCAAGGCAAAAAACGGTAACGTCCTTTTTGTGTGACCATGGTTTTACAGTTATGCCTGAATCCTTTTAGACTTGCCACTCCATTAATGGGAATGAACAGGTACTAAAACTTGACCATCTTATTAGCCTTTCAATACATCTTGAAAACATCTGTGTTCGTTGAAAAGTAGTAAATGACCCCCCCAAAAAAGTAATATAGGCTGCGGTCACACGGAGCATTAACCACGCTGCAGAGATGGAAGATAGTCGGATTTTCCGGACGCGATCACACCACCACATCTGGGAAGCGTAGAGCTCCCATGGCTCACCCGAGGCTTCCCGCCGAAGATGCAAGGGTGGGCGTCTGATCGCGTTTCCAGTGGTAGTTCCGGCCCATGTCCCCTTGCAAAAAGGGTTTTTTTTCCCCAAGTCTCCACGGATGCGCACAAGCACCCAACGGAGCATGCGCACACTTCAGTTTTAAAAAAACAACACAACCCCGTTTGCCCCGCGGCCCCACTTTTTTGCCACGCCGCAGGATTGTCCTGTGATCGGCACCTCCCCCCTAACCACGGGACCTCCACAAGAGGTCTGATCGCGCAACCGCGTGTTATTTTGCCCTGGGGCAAACAGCCACGCTCTCCCCACACACACACACCCACGCATTTTCCGGCCCATGTGACCGGAGCCATAGTTGGGGTGGGAGTAGATACGGTGGTTTCCATCATTAGTTTACGTTGTAACTCAATAGTGGATTTTTACAGTAGCCTCTGGCAAGTACCGTATTTTCTTGAAAGGACGACAACCCCAACTACACGATTACCCCTCCCTAAGAAATGTTATACCCAAAAAGATTTTTGTTATTGGACATAACTGTAACTTGTATGCAAATTTATTACACATCCAACACCCCTTTTTGATGGCTGTTGGGGAAGATCACAGCAATGGCCTATCTGGGAAAGAAACTAGTGTTGCATTTGAGTAAACGCAGTAATGGCTAAGTTGTTGTGATGTGGCTCAAAAATGATGGTCACAGTCACAGAACAGACCGAAAAAAGAAGAAACTGTGAGGTAACTGCGCGAGAGAATATGTAAATAGCGATCACAAAATTTATACAAAAATGTCTACAAAAAGTCTACATATATAAATGCACAAAGGCAGTTGAAAATGGTGTAATTGACGATGATCTCCAGAATGCTCTGAGACTCCCAGTGAAGGGCAGGGTATAAATCTAACTTCCTCCTCCTCTTCTTCTTGTCAGAACCCAAAGTAGCTTTTCACTTTGCTTCCCCCTCCTCCACCTTATCCTCACTACAACAACCTGGCAAGGTAGCTCAGGCTGAAAGACTGATGGGCCCAGGGGGCCAGTGAGCTTCCATGACAGAGAAGGGATTTGAACTAGGGTCTCCCAGATCCTAGTCTCAAACTCCTACCCCCAAACCATGCCTGCATTTTTTAGCGAAAGGGTTTTTTGGGGTTTTAGGGGGGGGGGAATGCACGATATAGTTCAAAATAATAAACACATAGACCAGAAACCGGAAGATGGCAGAATGTCCGAGGGGTTCACTTTGGAGCAGAGGAAGCAAAGAGCAACTCAGTTTTCTGAATTGCTCCCCCCCCCCTTTGTGCTCTGCTGTTCTTATAACCCCCCCCAAAAAAAAAAAAAAAACCTGAGACATTTCATGTTAACTGCATCAGCTGTATTTCGCGATCATTATTTATAAATAAATAAATCAATCAAATATTAGCTTTCAGTGTTGAAAACTGGCTTCTAGAACTTTTTGACTGGGGTGCTTATTTATGTAATTATATATACTAGAATGCTCTCTTTAACCTGAAATAGTCCTTTTGGTAACAGTGAGGATTTATGCACATATTACTCAGAAACACATTTGGAATTTGGAGATAGAAAGCAATGGCAACTGCTGGAAGTAATCACAATTGTGCACATAATTGTTCAGTCCAAAAGATAATGTTTGTCCTTCCCTCCCCGGCTTCCTTCCTGGGTTTCCTTATTTCTTCTACAGCTTTTTAAAAAGTGGATTTACATTTTCTACATTCAAGAAAGTTGCCCTGTTGTCTTTCTCTCTCTCACACACACACCCCATTAGTTCATAAATGTTTAGGAACAGGATAAACTGCTTGTCTGCCATGCCACTGGAAATGTTAAAAGCAAATCCCCGCATAGCACCCACAGCTCGGTTATTTCTGCTTGTATTTAATGTGTCAGTTTGATTGCAAACTGCTGAGGCCTGGTGCTTTGCCTCTGACAGCTCAACCATAATAGTTACCGGTTCAACAAATGTAGAGTCCAGTGGGGCACCTTTAAGACCAACAAAGTTTTATTCAAGGTGTGAGCTTTCGTGTGCACACCTTGAATAAAACTTTGTTGGTTGGTCTTAAAGGTGCCACCTGGACTCTAAATTTGTTCTACTGCTTCAGACCAACACGGCTACCCCCACCTGGATCTAGTTACTGGTTCAGTGGACACTAACGTTGCACGCACCACCTCAAGATTTTGGAGAAGCGAATTCCCAAGTGACTGGAAGACTCAGCTAGAAGTATGAAACAATTTAACGTAAAGTAATAGCAATAAGAAACCTAACTAGTGAAGCTTGAGCGTTTCCCTAATACCAGGGAGTCTTGGCAGCCATCATTTGAACAAAATCAGAAATATGCCCTGTGATTTTAAGAAGTAAAATGTTCTATTATAAATGCACTTTGAGCAATAAGAAGTGTGCTTAATATATTTCAGGGTGTCCTTTTCTCATTAAACTTTTTAGAACTTGCCTTATCCAAGAATGTGTGGTATCGAAATTCAGTTCTTGAGTTACAAAGGTAAGAATGAGTGTTTAATAAATAATGTATTTCTGAGCAGTTACGAAGTGGTGCTAGGTTATGCTAACAGTCTAATCTCCCCCCCCCCAAAAAAGGGGGAGAAGAATAGTTGATTTCTTTCCCTGCACAAAATCAAGTTCTTGTTTACATACTCTCTTCAGTCTTGATTTGTACCTCTAATTAATATATTCACAATCTTTTATAAAACAATATATGCCCTATTTATCTGCTTATTCACTCATTAGAAACATTCAGCCAACAGTCTCAAGGTGGCTTGTGACATTAGTAAATTACAACGGTTGCAACGTGATTAGAAATCACACATCCTTAAGATCAAAATCAACATGAAACTGATGGCAAAATCCGACTTCTCCCTCCAACCTGTAACCATGTCTAAAAAGGGAGGGGGGGGGACAGAAGAAAAAGGTTCTGCAATAGATGCTTGACCAGCGAAAAGGAGCTGCCACCACTAGTAACCAGCCTCACCTCTGTTATCCCTCAAAAAGGCATCATTTATTAATTGGGAAGCCTAAATATATGGGAAGAGATTTCTCTTTCTATATCCCAGTCCCAGGCAGTATAGTTTTGGAAAGGTTAAATCTAGCAATTTGAATTTGGCTTAAAATGTGAATGGCAACCAGTACAAAGCGGTCTCTAAAAGTTATGCTGCCACAATCTGGGAGTAGTTGCAATTTACAAACTGCCTTCAATGATACCCTAGGTAAAACCATCACAATAGCAGGCTAAGACACTCCCGGGACATGTCCAGCATTAAAACGGGGCCCCTTGCATGCCTCCAGTATACATCACACAAAATTGTTTTAAAGAAAATCGTATCCAGAAATGCACAGAAAGAAACAAGTATTTATTGGATATGTCTGCCTCACAGGCATTCAGAGAACGATTATCTTTGATGTGACCAGGCTAGCTTGGGCTATCCAGGTCAGGGCGGTGAGTTAAATACCTTTCCCTAGATGTTCAGCACCCTGCCCTGGATGGTCCAGGCGAGCCCGATCCTGTCAGATCTCGGAAGCTAAGCAGAGTCGGCCCCGGTTTGAGTGGGAGACCACCAAGGAAGTCCAGGGTTGCTATGCAGAGGTAGGCAATGGCAAACCACCTCTGAACGTCTCTTGCCTTGAGAACCCCACAGGGTTGCCATAAGTCGGCTGCGGCTTAATGCACTTTTCACGACTAGCAAATGTTCTGAGCCCTTCATAGGGACCAAGACTCAGATTGTGCGGATGGAAGAGTTGGTGCAGTCATCTGTGTTGTGCTTTCATGATGCTTTGCAGTCACAAGTGCTTCTTAAGTGAAAGTTGGGTTTCCCGTTTCGCTGTTAAGCTCACGCAAATTAGAGTTATCAGAGACATAGAAAAGTAACCAGTGCTGCACCCAGTTCTCTTTAGTTATCCCAGCTCTATAGGTCAGGTCCCTTTTCATGACAAGGTGGCCGTGTGTTGTGACTGTGAGACGAAATAGAAACAATATGGTCATTTAGAAAAACAATAGATTTCCCTAGCTAGAAAATTGTCACCTTATTTCTGCATTAAGTGTGGAGTGGAGTGCTTATACAGACATAGAAAGTCAACTTGTTGATGTTGTAGGGAAAAACTGAGATCTGTATACTGGCACAAGGAAAATGTGTATTATAGGGAAATAACAAAACTTGTTTTTATTTTAAGCTGCAGGGTCACATGTTTTATTGTTTATATAGTTGAGCTTACAGTCAGATCCCAGAAAATTAAGAGTTGTACTTATAAATGTCCCAGACAAGATGCACATAGATTTTTCATTTAATTTTCCTTGATTAACTGCTCATCACTTCTGATCTCAGTATGGCTTCTCATGCATACTCACCACTGAAATAGGCCCTACCAAAAACCACGGAGATTCAGCCACCTATTTCTCCTTCCCAAGTTGGGTGTCTCTTCTTTGTTTTCCGGGGTGGGGAGTTTGGGGAATCATATTAAGAGACATGATCATCCTTCCCACTATGGCTAGTATGCAGGCTGAAATACTTTTGATTTTGGTTAACTAGCATTCAGTACAGTTATACTGGGAGTTTTTAGCTTCCCTAAATATTACATGAAAACAAATTCCTCTCCACCCCTCTGATTCATAAACCATCCTAATTTTGGCTTTTAAAATTCATGCCAGAAATTGCAACCGGCATTTGGAAGCTGCATTTTTGTCACACTGATCCAGTAAAACTGATATTTATGTTACTTTTGATTTTTTTAGTCACATTGCTCTTATGTTCCTTGTACAGAATTTTTTTAAAAAAATGTTTCTTGGGGACCGGGGCCAACTAAACACACGTAGTGCAGAATGACGCTCATTGATTTGGTTGGACTTGCTTCTGAGTAAGCACGTAAGGTTGTGCTGTTGGTGTCAAACTGCTTGATTGGTTTGTACGACTTGATTGCTATCCTAAATTGTGTTTTTTCCCCCAAACAAGTACTGCAGTAATCACTCTATGCCAAAATCAATAAACATGTAAATGGAACATTGTCGTGTAAAATAAAACTATTGGTAATTAATGAGGCGTTCCATGCAAATGCTATCATTAGAGTAGATTGAAAAAAGTTGTAATGAAACAAGTAAACCCATCCTAAAAATGGAAATCATTATCATTCTAGATAACTAAATGACCATGGAATCTGGGGCAGAGAATCAGCAGAGCGGAGATGCAGCTGTTACAGAGGCAGAAAACCAACAGATGACAGTACAGGCACAGCCGCAAATTGCAACGTTAGCCCAGGTATCAATTAGTTTGGACCAATTTGCTGTTTTGCATTGTCCTCAAAGTGGGGGGAGAGTTACAAAGCAAGCTGTCTCCTGATGAAGGTAACGTACAAGAGAAGGTTGGAGGGACCCCAACGCTAGTACATCCATCCGCAGCCTTGTAATAAATTAATACAGGTTTATTTCATCCCTCACAAGAAAATGTTGTGTTACTTAATCAAAAGTATTACAAATTAATTGTTAGGTAATTGTTAATCACGTTCCCATGTTCTCAGCTTCCACTTCCCTTCAAAAGAGGTGGGTTTTTTTTTCCCTGTCTTTGAAAAGGAGAAGTACCTCTCTGTGGGCTTACAAAAACACTTAATGGTAACAATTACCTCGCAGATCTTATTTGATCTTCGACATGGGATCTAGTGCGCACGCACTGGATCGATTGGTGCTGTAGCAAGCTCTTTTAACGGATTTTCGCGCCCAGACCTCGGGCATGCGCAGGAACCCCACCACACATGCCCAGAGGGGTGGGCGCAGACATCCCGCCAGTTCCTTTCTTACCGCCGCGTTGGAAAGACCTTTTCTCCATCGGTCTGATCGGTTCGTTAGTTTGTCTTTTTGCCTCACGGCTCTTAGGATTTTTTCCTCATTCTTCTTCCTTTTTTGTGTTACTCCTTCGCTACCTACAAATTTTTTTTTTATTTTTTTTTTAAACAACTTTTTTTTTCCTGACGGGGGAAAGTTCCATTTACCTCAGCCGGCCCTCGGGTTTTACCCCTCCCCTCTCCCCCTTCTTTCTCCACTACTTTTTTGTTTTATGGAGAAAAAGTGTGGCTTTTTTAACCGGTGTCAACGTTGCGGTAGTAAACTCGCTCCACCTGACTGCCACACCCTTTGTATTTTTTGTTTGGGAGAGTCTCACAGACCTGACTCGTGCCAGCACTGTGCAAGATTTTCAAATCAAACCCGAAAAAACCGAGCTGCGCGCCTTAAAGTCACGCTCCTACAGTCGGCTCTAAATCCTTCCACAACTGTCCCCTCCAATCTTTTCCAGGGAGCACCCTTCCATCTGCTGTCATCCCAAATCACCATAACGACAGATGCTTCCCTGACAGGATGGGGCGTGCACACCATGAGCCTTTCTGTTGGGGATAAATGGGACGCACAGAAGAGGAAGCGACACATAAACTTCCTGGAACTGCTGGCAATACAACATGCTGTTACCAGCTTCCTACCTATAATCAGGGGAAAATGTGTCATGGTCCTCACGGACAACACCACGGCACTCTCTTATGTCAAGAAGCAGGGAGGCACTGTTTCCCTACGCCTCTGCAACCTTGCCATCCAATTATGGAACCTCTGCATCACCAACATTTTCCTCGTAGCCACACACATCCCTGGACACATGAACATGCAGGCAGACCATCTAAGTCAAGCAGGACTCAGCCTTCACGAGTGGGAGATGAACCCAACATACCTCCTCCCACTCTTCCGCAGGTGGGGAGCTCCCCAAGTCGAAGTTTTTGCCACCAGAGCCAACAAAAGGTGTCCTCTGTTCTGCAGTCAGGGAGGCAGGGACCCACAGTCTCTGGGAGATGGTCTCCTTTACCCTTGGTCCACGGGACTTCTTTACCTGTTTCCTCCCTTACCTCTGCTTCTGAGAGTGGTCCGCAAAATACTCAGAGACGGTGCGGACTGCATATTAATAACTCCATGGTGGCCGAGGCAACCATGGTTTTCGACAGTCCTCGAATTATCAACAGGAATATATCATCAATTCCCTCCGGCTCAGGACCTCCTCCCCTCTCCTACATCACTACATACCACAATAGAAATTGACAGCATGGAGGATAACGTCACCGGTTTCTCCACCCGCGTAGCGAACGTTCTGTTGAATTCCAGGAAACCTACTACACGGAGGTCCAACAATTATAAATGGCAAAGGTTCTGTTCTTCCCTTGGTGATGACGCCCTCGAGCCACCTCAGTGGGTCTCGAAAGAGTTTTCCAATTCCTCCTCTCCCTAGCTGACTTGGGACTTTCCCATTCATCATTACGAGTTTATTTGGCCGCCCTTTCGGCCTACCATGTTCTAGTGGATGGATGCATGCTGTTTTCCCATCCGCTTTCAAAACATTTTTTAAAAGGTTTATTACATCTCTATCCTGTCAAAACTCCTGTCGTTCCCTGGGACCTTCCTCTACTTCTCCGCCAGCTCATGAGGAAGCCCTTTGAGACGCTCGCAACATGCGACCTCAAACTTCTAGCATGGAAAACGGCCTTTTTAATCGCTGTCACCTCAGCTAGACGACTGGGAGAAATATTGGCTTTCTGACACAATACACCTTACCTGTCGTTTTTGCCAAATGGAGTCCGCCTCGTACCGGACATTTCCTTCCTTCCACCTGCAAGCGGAGGTCTTCCTCCTGGTTTTCTTCCCAACTCCAATGTCCGCAGAGGACAGACTCCTACACACTTTGGATGTGAAGCAGGCTCTCCTACCTCAATAGAACACGCCTAACGAGACGAGACTCCCAACTGTTCGTCTCTTACGCACCAGCGAGGCTAGGGACTCGCATCATGGCTCAGCGCCTGTCAAAGTGGATTGCGGGGCTCATTCGTCTCTGCTACCTAATCGCCAAACAGCCATTACCTGGCCCTATCAGGGCTCATTCTACCAGAGCTGTTGTGACTTCCACTGCCTTCCTTTCCCCTGATGGACATTGGCAAAGCTGCTACATGGGCCATGCCTAACACCTTCATCAGGCACTATGCCCTAGACGTCCATAAGAACACCGATACCAACATAGG